AAATTCACACAACGAGCCTTGTAGGATGAACCACGTTTCTTACATCAAGACATATTTTGCAGATGGAACAATTTTTATCTGAACTTCTCCCAGGTCTGCCAACTGCTTTTTGCCTAGAGAGAAATATGGAGCATGGAGTAATGAGATTAGGAAACATAATCATCCCTTTCTAAGGCAGACTTGTTGCTTCAGGATTCTCTTTTTTTCCCTCCCCCTCATGTCAGCCTCAACAAGGGGTGCCACAGCAATGTAAAGAGGAGGAGAGAGATGTAGCTTGTGCAGGTGGTGACTCTCACAGCCAGGCTTTTTGCATTGCAGTTGTTGGAGTAGCAGCAGTGAACGCTCATTCCAGGTGCCTTGGATCCATCCCTCTTTGCCCGCTCGCAGAAGGACCGGAACGAGCAGGACTTCATCATGCCACCTAGAAGAGAGCCACATAGAACCCAAATGGCACTGCACCTTCATGGTCACTCACCCCTCTCTCCAGCCCCTCAGCACCAACCTGACCACCCCACGCTGAGCAACAACATTCTGGCTGCTCCTCACAGGTCAATTAATACAATTACCTCAGATCATGGCACAATAACAAGCACCTGCTTAAGTGAAACAATCGTAGTTTATCTCAGATGCAACTGAAGCAGTTTAAATATCTCTGAGCATGCCCAAGTGCACTGCCTTGTTGGCCTCTTTTCTGTCCTAATTTCCATGTAAGTGATTTTATTTAAAAATTACAAACTTAGGTAAAAAGTGATCAATACTTGAAATGCTTTTTCACTCCGGGACAGCTCATCATGGCATCCTGACAAATCCCAGTGGGATTAAGTATCAGATTGCTGCTAAGCCAATACAGTTAGGGGTTGAGATTTATAAATAGGGTTTATTTTGTGAGGAAACATACACTTTTCTTTTTCTCCTGAGCTTACTATGTATTCTTCTCTTTCCAACATGGTTAGTTACTTGGATTATTAAAAATGTAACAAGTGTGAACTGCTTGTGGCCACTCACTTGCTTGTCCTCTAATGATCGCACACGCATCAGAATGCCCTGGACATTGCTGAGTTCCTTGTCTGTTACAGTCTTCATCATTGGAACCTACACAGGTGTAACACTGCAGTGCTTCACCTGGCATTAAGGAAAAAAAGACCACGTAACAGTCATGTTTGGAGTTTACAAAAAAATACTGTAAAATATCAGCTACACAGTCTTTCTAATTTTGTTTGAAGCACACGTAACAAACTACACAAAGGTTTTAAAAAACCTCTGGTGACACTGCAAATCCTATTAATTTTCCTTTATCAGAAGTGGTCCAGATACATATTTTAAAGATTAAAAAAAATCAGCCATATATTTCTTAGCTCTTACAATTTGCACTGAAAATAATCCCAGAACATCTGATGTTCTGCAATTGCACCCACACCTTCCCACAGCCTTTTCAGAGCAGAGTCCACTCTGTCAAATTTAAGTATCAGTTTTTGTCCCCATCTGTCATGATCTTTGGTCCATAGGGCCCTGAAACAGTACATATGGTCCATATATCATTTTCTCCTAAAGTATCAAGTCAGCTGAGAGGCACAACAGGAGTTTTGCTTTTGTTTGAACATTACGACAGTAACTTGAACCTCTTTCTTCTCCCTGCTCCAAGCTAGGTGGTATTTTCAAAGGCAAGCATGAATCTGAAATATGTTTAAAACACCATACTTCAGACATGCAGAGCAGAAGGCACATTTGCTGTCCACAGGGACAAGTGCATTTAAGTTTGTTAGCATATCTATTTATCTTTACATTCCATAGCAGAAGGGAAATGCCAGTGCTGCCAGCCAGATCCACAAAACCATCTGATACCAAACCCAGGAGAGACCCCAACAGCAAAGAGACTTGGCCACACCTGAAGTAGGAAATGAAAAGGAAAGAAAAGGGAGTTGACTTACTTTTGAGTACAAAAAGGGAGCTGACAAGAACCAGGCTGAAGACTGTCCACATCGTGGAGACACAAGAGATGCACCATTAGCCCAAGAGGGCAATTAGTTTGCTATTAAAGCCTTAATGCTTATCTTACATACCTAATCCTCTGCAGAGGATAACTTACGAGATAAAGAGGTGTGTGAGAATGCTTCTTATCTAGCTTATTGTGGTTGTACTCCTAACCACACGTACTTCATCTCCACCTTAAAAAACCACCATGCCTTCATCACAGCCTCTGACTCATGCAAACAGTCTCCTTATATTTCCCTGTGAGATTGGCTGGATCAGGGGCAGAGTATTAAGCATTTTGGAGGATTAAGCCTATGCTTGAGAGCTGAGTGCTCCAAATCTAGCACATATAGACACTTACAGAGAGCAAGAAGCAGCCATGGGTATGTGCACACAAGTAGCCTATTCTGTGAGGTGATCCATGGAGCTGCTGGATCTGGTGTTGCAGGTGGAGCAAGCAAGTGGAGAACACAAAACTGAGCCATACTTATCTTCAACTTCCAACGAAAAAATTTATTTACAATAGAGAATTTCATCTGTGACATGCATTTTCTTTTTTTTTTTTTCCATTTTATATTTTATTTTACAAATCAGCAAATGCAGATAAAGTTTACACTCCTTAAGGCAAGAGTCCCCATGCAAGTAATACATGTTTATATTAAATCCAAAAGACATCCAACATGGGAACTCATGTACAAAGGGAAGGCTAGGATCAGCAATTTGTAATTTCTTAGAGAACTTGACAATCTCCCTGATACAGGAACTTTTGAGATCAACTTGCTATGAATTATACTATGAAAATGCAAACAATAGCAAGAAATTCTGATAGTCATCTTAGTACTGCATACAATTAAATCAGCTTTATTTAGAAAGAAAATACAGTAGTGCATACGAAAAAGTGAAAATATAACCTGTCCACATAAATGTATGGACATCAGTGTGCCAATGGTCATATTGCACTCAGTATTGAAGTCCAGAAATTTGGTTCAAAGTTAGCTTTTCCCCATCTTGGCAATCAGTTCATCACAAATCTTTGTTAATTCTTCTATCTCTTTATTCTGGAAAACAAAAGGCAATTATTAAGTATTAGGAAAAATACCGTTGCATTAAGTGTTGTTTTAAAATTGATCCAACCCTTGGGAGAAGTGTGGGACAATTAAGCTTCCTCCAAAACTGATGACAGAATGTCTGTGCCTACTTGAGAGATCTACAGAGTTATAGGATCATACACAGTACAGCTAGGTATGGTGCATTCAAAGGATATGTTAACTTACTTCCACACACAGTTCCTCCCACTTCAATAGACACAGTTTAGCCCCCCAGCAGACACCTTTGCTGCAGTCATTCCCAGCACATGATCACAACACACAGTGTAAATTTCTTTCTAGGCTGCATTTTTCTTTTCACCCTGTTTTCCTCTCAGAGAGGCTGAGCTGTGCTATACTTAAAACAAGCTCCTTTGCTGAGCTGGAGAACATGGGATGTAAACAGGGATTTCCTTCAGCCACTTTTGCCCTAAGCTGCGCAGATCCCCATTGAAAATTCTGCCTGTGTTAACAGCAGAGGCACGAAAGCTGGTGTTGGAGTTACAGCTACAACTAAAAACAGAACCAAAAACTGAAAGAACTGGAACAAGCAGATCTCAAACCCAAGAACCAAAGCAACCCAAGGCCCTGCTAGGTACACACTGAGCATTCACTGAGCCTGGGGCAGCCCTGAGCACTGGCCCATGGCCGAGGTTGAAGCCTGGCAGATGGGTCCATGTGCCACATCCATGCACCAGGCCCGGTGCATACAGTGGATTTTGTTGGAAGGTTTGGGCAATGCTGCTCTCTCTGGGGCCAAGGGCTGCTGGGCCAGCTGGATGTGGCCTTCAGGCAGACCTTGGCTGTGGTCTGAGCTCCAGAGGAGAGCTGGATGCAGCCACGCTGGGGAAGTGTCACTCAACTTCAGTCATCCCTTTGAGTTCTGCATTAAAAGAGCTGAGTTGCTTCTTACCTTTTGTTCCAGTGTTCTTTCCAATGCATCCACTTTGAGCTGCTCCTTACGAAGGCTGGCCTGATACGCTGCTTGCTCTTGCTGAGCCTTGCCTCTCACTTGTGCAATTTCAGCATTGGCTCTAGAAAAACACAGATTTTGGTCTTGTCAGGTTCTCTACAGGAAAGGGCAGGAGGTAATGAAGGATGGACTGCATCTTAACAGATGGGTAGTGAGGGCAGGGCTACCTTCTGCATGTCTTAAAAAATATTCTGAGACGTGTCCCTAGAGACTTTTCATCACTCCCTCTCGCTCAGCAGAGGCTGCAAAGTCTTTTCTTAATGTCTTTGTCATTCCCTTCATGCTTCTCTCAGATACTGGTGCTGCACTCACAAATATCACTTAGGTTAAGGTGTTTTATGGCCGTTTCTAAACCTCATCTCCAGTTATTACAGACTAGACACAGCTGGGACAACAGCTGGAAAGCAACTCCAAGTCTTGCTTGGTTTTAGGCACTGATCAATCCTAGTGACATTTTTGAAACATCTCTTGGGTCCAGGGGACTGTTACATGAATCCTGAACATAATCTCTAGAAGTGGTTAATTGCTCGTTATTTGGAAGCATAGGACAAAATATTAAATCAACCAGAGCTGCCTCTCTTAAGCCACCATCTGATGTTCACTTATGTTAACTTCTTAACAGTGGCATCAGGAGTTACTGCCCTGCACACCCGGCACGATCTTTGGTGCAACTATTCCCCACCATCCCCAGCACAAGTTGGGCTGATCTGGTTGAGGCAACTGGTGGTGTGAGGGAGAGAACACCTGACTGATTTCATATCACATAAAAACATATTTAAAGAAATATGAAAAATGAAGACATTTGATAAAGACAGAAATGTAAGATGTTCTATACAGTCAGGAGCTGGAAGCAAGGCCAGCACATGATGGGAATTCTCATGCTGGCACTTCATTCCAGCCTCCATCTCAGAGCAGCCTGTGCTCTGCATATTGCAGGAGCAGGTTTGGGGTGCAAGGTCCAGCTGCAGCATGAGCTCCTGAAAAAAGATATGTACAAGCAGTTACCTGTCCAGTTTTTCCTCAGCGTGAATTTTGAGTGCTTGATACCTCTGCTCTTCCTTCTTCACTCGTGATAAATATTCCTGCGCGCATTTCTTTAACACTTCTTCATTCTTAAAGGAGAAGATATCATTAAATTCAAGCCAAGAGCTTGAAGTGTAGGGCAGGTGTCCATTTGTGGGAGTCACATTCAGATATTTAAAGGATATTTATTGAAAGGAGGAGACTTTAGGATGACTCACCTTCCGAAACCCTTCCAATACTTCTTTCATTTTTTCATATCTCCTGAAAAGATCTGCCAGTGATTTCTCCACTGAGTTCAGATCTGCCAGAGCTTGTTCCTTCTCCACTATCAGCTGCTGAACAGTGTGATGGGAGACAGATTTCTCTCTCTGTTCATCCTCTGTTGGAAAGAAGAGGGGGAGGAAAAAAAGGCCATTTTCAGAAGGGTAATAGTGGCAAGAACACCAATTTCACTGTCATCTGCACTTTCTACTGTACTGGGCTCTATAGCTTGTATTAGTAAGTTTGCAGGATCCAGAAAAGTCATTTTTATATAAAGACACAATCCTGTTGTGGAAAAAGTTTGCTAAATACAGTGATATTGAAAGATTTTGATGTTGGGAGAAAATGTGAACACATTTCTGTCCTGATGGTTTATTTCACTCTGAACTCAGCTGTTGCCATGAAAAAGGCAAGTGTTGGATTTCCCTTGTTTGCCTGAAGAGGCTCTAGCTGAAGGAAAGGACAATTATGCATATTAATAGCACTGGCAATGAATTATTTGCCATTGCTGATATATGCTTGTCATCTCCTGGCATCTCTTCTAATTCTGTACAAACAAGGCACTTTGTTTAATGGAATTCAGCTCTCATTCCATTTTTTTGTTTTGCAAACACTCATTCTTGGGATTGCTGCAGCAAGTGCCAGAAAGGAAATCTAACATTAAACAGAATTTCTAAGTTCTGCTCTGCAGAAAACTTCTTCCAAGCTTCTTCTGTGTATACTTAAATTTGAGGAGGGATGGTGGGGAGAACACAACAGGAATCAAAATCCATACAGTTGAAAACTTTTTGAAGGAGCTGACCTAGTAAATTGGAATACCTATATAACACTGGAAGAAAAGGTCTAGTATTATCTTACAAAACACTCACTGTTTGCTTCATATTCTACAATATGAGTCTTGTGTCCATGTTTTAAGAGCTACTTGGAATGACACTGAAATGAAAACCAGCCCACAAAACATAGCAGTTTTGTATTCCTGTTTTCCTTTGTCTATGATAGAAACTAAGACAGGGTAAGTTCTCCCATCTAAAAAGCACCAGGCGTTTCAGAATATACAGCTGTTCATTCAGACCTTTATATTTTGAAATATAAAGAGCTAAACAAGAGTTTAGTTTTTTATTTGAATAGATATCTTCATCTGAATTAAGCATTTCATAGTGCTGGTTAGCTCTGAAAAGTCAAAGTTGGTACTTTCAATTCTTAAACAGGAATTAAATCTCTTCCTTTTGCATATTCAATCTTGTTATACTCTTTTTTGCTAGTCTAACCAAGCCCAGAGCAGTGACAGTGCCACGCTGTGTGCCATCTGGTGCTGGCTGTGTTCTGTTCTCTTCTGCACACCCCTGACAGCATCGTGCATGGGCAGAGACTGACCTGGGGTTGTTCTGCTCTATCAGGTGATAAGCAGAAGACTGAAAGAACCAGAGAAGCTCTTAGGACCTGCACTTAGTTTGCAGCACTGGAGGTTATAACACTTTTATTTTCCTGGTGAGCAAACATCTTTGACGTGGCAGAACTGAGAAACCCAGAGCCCTGTAATGCTGCATCAGCTTGGTAACATTGAACATTTCATAAAAATTAAACATTTTTCTTTCTATCTTGCTTTCTTAAAGATACTCTGCGATCATCTGTAATATCAAGATGAATATACTCTCAACTAAAAAGAGAAAACCATGTCATCCTTCATTTATTTTTCTAAATTTGAGAAGTTGTCACCTTATGTTCCAGCATAAGATTTGTTGAATCACGCTGGAGATGACACTCTGCCTATCTTAGTTCCAAAACACTTACTGGCAGGATCCTGTGCTTTGGCAAAACCTCTGCTGTCAGAGCTGCATGCAGGGGAAGGATCCATCTGCATCAGAAACTTAAATGCATTTAATGTCACAACTTTACTTTTGCAGGGACTGCTGTCTGAGGTATTTCAGCAACTTCCCTCTTGTTTCTAGGGCAATCTAGAAAGTCAGGAAATCGTGACTCACTCCCTCACATCTACTGAGCTCTTTCTGTTCCTCCCAGGGCTTTGTGGTGCCACCTTTCTCCTGGGCTGGACCAGCTCCTCCAGCACTGTCACCAAGCCCTGCTTCACCTTGCACATGAGAATTAGGAGCAACTGATGTAGAATCACAGACTGGTTTGGCTTGGAAGGGACCTTAAAGATCATCTACATCTAAACCCCCTGCATGGGCAGGGACACCTCCCACCAGACCAGGTTGCTCAGGCAGAAATTCTTCACCATAAAGGTGTTGAGGAACTGGAATAGTTTGCCCAGGGAGGTTGTTGATGCCCCATCCCTGAAGGTTTTTAAGGCAAGGCTGGACGAGGTTTTGTGCAACCTGATCTAGTGGTTCCCTGCTCATGGCAGGGGGGTTGGAACTTGATGATCTTTTAAGTTCCCTTCCAACCTTAATGATTCTATGATTCTAAGATCTAAATTTAAAACCAAAGTGGTTAAACACTACAGAAAACCAAAGCTGGCTTCTGGCTGGAGGGAGACTGGAAGATCTATGTGATATTTCCTAAAACCATGATTAAGCTTGAAAAAGCTGCTTAGTGGAACTATGCTGCTCACAGGCTGCCAGTCAAATCTTAGTTAAGCAGTTACAGATACTTATTTCTAAAGGTATTTATGAGGTTACGTGATTAAAATATTTTAATTAAATGGCTTCCACGTCTGCAACACACACAGTCCAGGGCTCAGCAACAATAGCAGCAGTATGCTCAGGGCTAACACTATCCAAACTGACAGAATCAGAGCACAGCAGATCCGCTTTCAGGCTCAGCTCAGTATTTACTTCCATCACTTAATGGGAATGCAGCAAACAGAGAACAAAAGCAAAAGAAACGAAAAATGCCAAATGCGGGTGTGAAAGTTGGTGAAAAGCTTTACTTACCAGGCTTGCCTGTTTTGTTTTTGCAAGCAAATAGCAAGAAGCAACAAAAACGGAAGCAAAATAGAAAATCAGGAATTGTTAGGGAAGCAGAAAAATAAGTAATGCAAACAACCTGTAATGCACAAAGCAGAACATCTGTTTGGTTTTCATAACAAGAACTTCACTCTATATTTAAACGTACAAGTAGAAGGATACATTTAAAAAAGGGAAAAAAAAGAAACAACCAACAACCCACCATTATGAATCCATTCATAGAAAGGAAATCCATGAGAGGGATTTGGGGAGGGAACTGTAGGTGGCTGTGTGTGCAGGGTGGGGGGCAGTGAATGTTGGGGTGACACTGGCTCTGTTCCCTGCAGCTGCAGGTGCTCTGCAGTTGTGAGCTGCAAAGCTTGGGCAGCAGTCAGCAAAGCAGCAGCACCAGCAGCAAGCCAGCCTGGAAAGCCTCTTCTTTTAGCTGTCCCCTCCTCAGTATGAG